GCCCAAGTGGTAAATAGTGACTGACCAAATAAGACAAAGTTTGTGAAAAGTGAATTGTCAAGTGTTGGGTTATCATGAAGGCCCCTGGGTTGACCGAAGTCTAAGGCTGAGCCTCCTTGCCTAGCACATCAAGGCTATGCCTTCAAACAGAAGTGATGAGGTGTAAGGATGTTGGCTTTAGATTCTCCTCCAAAATAAAATTGGTCGTTAAATAAGCTCCTAGTTGCTAGAATTAAACAAACATAGCACTTAAAAGAAGGCTATCTATATTTTTTTATATCAGCTAAAAAACCCAAAGAGCTGGTTTTATCTACCTACAGAAGAGAAAGAAGAAAAAACTACTACTATCCTTACGGCAGGGTATGTCCCTCAAGGGTTCACGTGTAGAAAGCTGTGTATGATGTCAGATAGTGGAACCTTGAAAAGCTGAAGCCTAAGCCAGACTATGTTAGTTCGTGCCTATAATCACAGTTTCTTAAAAGTTCAAAGGATCAAGGTCAACCGGAGGTACAGAGTAAGTTCAAGGGCAGCCCAGGCAACTTAGTGCAACCCTGTAAAAAGACAGCTGATGGTGGGGTATAGCTCAGCAGTCAAGTACTTGCGTAGCATGCATGAAGCTCCAGGTTTGATCAATCCCTCGTACTGCTCCTCTTCCTCCAAAGGTGAGACCTAATGGGAAGTGTTTAAGTCACTGGTCACATTGCCCTTGGAGAGAATTAATGTGTTCTCGAGGAGCAAATTGCTCTAACAGATCTCTAGCCCCTACCTGCTCTTGAGTGTACTCCCATCACAATGCCATCGAGTGAGCGTATTGGGACCCAGCACAGTGTAAGGGGTAACAGCCCCCAGGAGAGCCAAGTGAATGCCATACTTTGTATTCTAAACTTAACTCAATTGGGAAAAAAAAATCCTGGCCTCAGAGAGCTTGTTATAACAACAGGAAATAAATTAATACAGTTATTAACACCCTCCATAAATTCACTATCATACCTGTTGAGTCATCTCTACCTCCTTGTGGTCATCTGTTCCCTGGCTGAGCTGGCTGCCTCGCTAGTTGCTAAGCTGTGTTCACGACCAAGGGGCACACACTCGGTTGGCATTTGTCTCCTACTTTTCAATGATTTGCATAGTGGATCTTACTTCTTTTGCCACTGGCTAAAATCACGTCCTTTCTTTTCCCATGTAACTCCATTCTTTTGAATGACCCATTGAAATACGCATCATCATGCCTGTCTCTGCCTTTGAGCTCCTGGCTTTATTCCCAGAGACCCCCTTAATAATTTCTACCCATTTCCTAGCCAGACCCCCAGGTCAACAAAATTTACCTGAATTCATATTTGTACTTCCTGCCCCTAAAATACACAAATAGTTGATAGGTATTGGTCAGCTGAACTTGTCAACAACCATGTGCCTCGTGCTATATGTGCTTCTTTGGAACCGTTATGGAACACAGGCTGGCAACCTTCACTCCCCTCTTGCTCAGAATCATTATAGAATGCTGGCTGCCAGCCCTATGCTTTGCTCTCTTCTTCAGAATCATAGAATGCTGACTGCCAGCCCAGGCTTAATTCTGAATACTTAGTCCTCTTTAGAGCTTAGAGGCAAGCTCTGGGCCACCATTATTTTACCTGTTTGTTAGGCGAGCCTTTTGGAGATTGGCTTTGAGTGTTATTACTACCTGGAATAGTAGTGCAAACACTGAGTGAAAGGCACTGTGCTAAATCAGACCCAGCCCAAGAGGAGTGGCATTGTCTGCTCACTACACACTGGGCTGAAGCTCAGAAAGATTGAGTAATTGTGTGAGCTCGTCAGCCTGTAGTGTATTTCACCAACTTGCAAGATGCCCTCCCTCCCTTTTTTCTACTTTAAGATGGTTATGGTGAGTGTTACTCATGTGGTCACAGTCTTTTTGGTCTGAAAGTAATAGTAAAGAAGAGTGGTTTGCTTTGCCACTGAGCTAAACTCCTGATCAATGATAGTGTTTTTGCCTGTGGCAACTTGCTCAGAGTTGCTCCTCTTGTCCCCACTCTCGTTTCCTGTGTGTGTATCTTGTACCCCTTATTTTGAGTTTAGTTGCAAGTAGCCTGGTTTTGAAAACCAAAAGAGTGAACTATTGAGTCGGCATGCATGTTTTCTGTCCATAATCTGCTGATAAATGACTCTCTGAGCCCAAGAAGAAAAACTACTGCCAAGGATAAACAGGTCTTAGAACAGAGCAAGGGGGTGTTGATCTATCCTCAGTGGGGCAAATGTTTATTTTGGGGAGAATAACTACAATTCCATAGTTTCTCACCCAACATGCCTTGGTGGCTTGAAAATGTGGATACCTACAAAAACGTGAGGCCATGTTTGTGTTTTGTAACCAAAACATGAAGAACAAACATTTGCCACGGAAGGCCAGAAAAAATTGCCAAATCTTGAACAGATAAATGTTGAAGCCATCTGAGGATGCTGTGATTGGCTCAGGGGCATGGTTGAAGCATCATGTCACTGTTAAATTCAAGTGTTTGTCGCTGGTAATAAAATAATGATGCCTCTCAGCCACCATTGTATTCTTGGGTTGAACAAAATCCTGTAAGCTGCAAATCCAGTTGCAAACTCAAGCTGCCCAGCTCAGGCGACTTCACCTCCATTCTTGCACACCTGGCTTTTATTAGCCAGGAGTTTATGAGAAAACATTCAAGGAGTGCAAAGGTGCTTTCACATCAAGTTTTAGGACATAATTTGGTCATCACTGAGTTGTTGCCATCTTTATTGAATGCCTAGAGTCACATTTGAAGTAGAATTCTCTCCAGTTCTCATGCCTTAGCTCTTTAATTAAAATCTATCTGAAGCTAGCCACATTATAATTGATCATATTATTGACGACAAGATAGCAGGTTGTATTACATTTTCTTCTTTGGTTGCCTATCAAGGGACATGCAGGAATGTTTACTGTCATCAGGATAATTATAGCTGCTGCGGTTGGTGGAGGTATGGGGAATGTCACTTTTGTCCCCTGTGTTAGTTCACAACCAAATGAGAGATGTCAGACAAATAGGTATTACATGATCAAAATTGTGATGACTACTCTGATGCCCATCATAGAACTGCTAGTAGTTAACTCCTGACTCGTCAGACTTTCTACTTAGCCCAGTGTCACAGCTGGACAACAGCAGGGCAGTGTGTGTGTGTGTGTGTGTGTGTGTGTGTGTGTGTGTGTGTGTGTG